TTGAATTAATCATTAATTTAACCAACGTTTAAATCATTGCCTGCTTCAAAATGAATGCTGTTAACGAAATCATTGTTGAAACATTTGCAGTTAGCCTACTGTACAAATAAAAACACTATAACAAAATTACATAAACAGTGAATAAATGTACAAGGCGAATTAAGGTATGTGCATAAAAAGCATAGATCTTCATTCAGATTTCGTGAGCACTTTGTCATTTTTGAAATGCATATGCTGAAGATTTTGTCCATCTGATGTTCATCATTTTCCTCTGATGTTTGCTACGGTAACGTATATGAACGTAACTTTTTAATAAGCAGGGGAAATTCCCGACATTAAACAAATAACAGTTTATATGCATAGGACGTTTGTGTTGTAAGAATGTACAGGGATACTTCAGATATAAAAACGCTGACTTGTTAGGTGATGTTTTCTCATTAAAATCGCACAATTTCCTATTAATTCAATAGAATGTAAGGGAATACTAGGGAATACCAAAATGGTGGGACGGTGGCTTCACTTTTATAATGTCATGAGCAATCCAGTTCTCTATTATACATCAGTGCCCATACCCCTTAATCCACCATTAAACCAAACCTGTCTGTAACCTTACCCTTATCCCACCTCAATAGCAGCTTTACAATCCAACATGAACACAATATGTACACTGCACCATTTTTTTAACATAAGTAGCCTACACAGTAATTAAAATCACCTTATATAAAGTGGGAACAAAGTATCTGCTGTTATGTTTTGAGGTTCAATAAAAAAAAAAAACTCATAAAAGTTTTATAGAAGCAGTGGAAAATATATATTTTTTTCTTTTGATAATTTTCAATAGTAAAGTTCATTCTAACCTCTGCTATAGTGATGGCCAGCATAAGCCATGGTGGTGGACAGTAGGTGTAACTGTCAAAGTACCACTTGCGGTCCACCTCTCTTGGCAAAGTCTCATAGGCAACATGACGCACAAGTCTCCGAGACAGACCCAAGCCCACTTCCTCTCTTAGCGCGGAATTCCTGAGCTGCCGACTCCCCTGCAGGATCGCTCGACGGAAACTGTTTGAGCGCTTGTTGCTCATCTGAGGAAAAAAAAAAAACATGACACAAATTAAACAGTCATGTTTATCAGTACTTTCATGTAAATATGCAGATGATCATGTATCAGTAACCAAGTCAATCAGTATTGGTAGTCCCTCATTCCTGTAAGTTTTTATATACAGGCTCTCAGAAACTTTTATATATATCTGTGAGGGCATTTACTGTAATCCTTAATCTTTACGGATGTTTTTTTTTTTTTCATTCAGAATCTGTGACACCTGTTTTTATTTTTATTTTTGGAAATATCCCTGATGTTATTGGTCTATGAGCTGTCTTTCTGTCTTTGACAGTGCAACCTATCCCACATCCCACCTAACCTACCCCCCAACCCTGCCACAGACAGAATGCCACTGTTGTCACTTAGCAACCGATTAAAGATTCCACACTCATCACCAAGTCTCAGAGCAGCTGTGTAACAAACAGTGTGTAAGTTATTGCATGTGTGTGTGTTTGTGTGTATGAGACAATGCTGTTCAAACAAGCTTTTCATTGCTGAGGCAAAAAGCCCTCCTCAAAAACCTGGAATGTTCTTTTATCCCATGCCAGGCTCCTGATCAGGAATACAGGTCATGCATTATGTAAGTTGTTGAAGAGGCCCTGAGAAGGATGAAGACATTTAGTTGGAAAGCCCCTAAAGATGTTGCCTTTCCATCACATTGGGATCAAATGAAATAGTTTAAAACATGACAAACTGACTTACAAAGCTTACAGTTTCACGTGATTCACATGGTAAAGCTATAAAAACACTTTACTCTTTTAAATACAGGAAAGAAGACAACTTTGTGAAAAACTAAAGCCAGAAAATAATGACCACAGACTCCTGCCTGGATAACAGCTCATCTCAAATGAGAATCTGTCGATGAAAATGCGCACACAGTACCTTACACCAGTACCTGATTGTTTGATATAGATATACACATGTACACACAAAACGTACACACACTGGCCAGTTTATAGTTCAAAAATTAAGGATTATGTTTATTTAATTAATACTTTCATTTAGCTAGGATTCATTACACTGATCAATGCTGACAGTTGTTTTTTTATTTTTTATTTCTATTCATTAAAGAATAATCCGAAAAAAACGCATCATGGTTTCCTAAAAAAATGTAAGCAGCACAATCTTTTTCAGGTGTGATTATAAGAAATGTTACTTGAGCACCAAATATTATAATATTAGAATGATAATATTAGAATGATTTCTAAAGGATCATGTGACACTGAAGACTGGAGAAATGGCTGCTTAATTTTTTTTAGGAAACCATGATGCATTTTTTTCTGATTATTCTTTAATGAATAGAAAAAAAACAAAAAAAACAACTGTCAGCATTGATCAGTGTAATGAATCCTAGCTAAATGAAAGTATTAATTAAATAAACATAATCCTTAATTTAATGGTAAATGGTAAAAAAGGAGCGGCCGGCGGGCTTGCGGCAACCACATGTGACGACCCTGGGCTGGACTCCGCTTTGTCCACGGTAAAAGCCGATCCGGTGATCCACAGCGCGAAGTTGATATATTTCCTCAGCGACCAGCACGGATCAGCTCCAGGCATGACGAAGCGGATATCGTCCTCTTTTGGAAGACCAAACAGAGTAGTTTCGCTTTCACAACGAAACACACAGCGTCT